GCTTTAGACCACTGAGCCATCTCACCAGCCCGAGATTTATTTATTTATTTTTTAGTAAACATTTCCAGCCCCCATTTAAAAAAAAAAAAGATGTATTTGGTACAGGGTCTCACTATGCAGCCCAGACTCATAGTGATCTTCCTGTTTTCAGCTTCCCCATTGCTGGGATTATAGGCTTGTGCCCTCAGACTCCTGGAGGGTGGTAGGACAATGGCAAGACAAGGGATGGAACCCTGGTCCCTACGCTTGCCTAAATAGGCATGTAGTTTGCTGAGCTCTCGCCAACTCTCAATCCCTATTTTAAACCTTTAAACCTGTTGGACACAGAATTGAGTAAACAGTTTCCATTCTAAATATTGTCTATACTCGTCCATGGACAAGTAAGCTGGTTTTGCAGATTTGCTCAGTGTTAATAGACCAAAGCATCAGGTTTAATGAATATTGTTCTAGTGTAAAACATTGAGTTATGCCTGGCATGGTGGCACACACCTGTAACCCCAGCACTTGGGAAGCTGAGGCAAGAGGATTGCTCAAAGTTTGAGGCCAGTCTGGGCTACATAATGAGAGTAAGGCTAGCCTGAACTACACAGTGAGACCCTGTCTGGGGGGAAAAATGAGTTAGAAAAGTTACTGGTTTTTGTAGTCTTTTATTACAAGCAAAAATAACCAAGCAAAACTTGAGAGTCTGCAGAAAATTTTGTGCAGAAGAAAGTAAAATGTATTTAAGGGCTGGAGCAATAGCTCAGTAGAATAAGTGCTTGCTTGGGAAGCACAAGGGCCTGAGTTCAATCCCTGTTCTGCCAAAAAAAGAAAAAATATGTTTGAACAGTAGAAATCCATTTCTTCCTGGTTGAGAGTGAGTCTTTAGTCTTAGGTGGTGAGTATACAATGTCACTAAACTGTTTGACTCATGACTGTTTCTTATTGCTAAAAGCCATACATTTGCCTGACAGACAGGTGCTTGTCAGCAGTTTTGTGACATAAATAATACGTTTATCTATGATTGATCTGCTATTCATTTTTTTCTTTGAACCAAGTTCTTTATCTTCGTAGAATATGATTGATGATGATGTATACTCTACAATGACTGTAATCTTTGCTTTATGAACAAACATACTTCAGTTGCAGTTTGTAAGATGAGTGGCAGTTAATTTATTGCTCAAAGATTGCCTAATATGATAGTTCTCATCACTGTGCAATTATTTATCTTGGGGTCATTTATTTTCTAAAGCTGCTTTTCTTTGAATAGTACTCTGCTTAACATAAGCAATTTAGAATTGAAGAAAGGGGCTCTAGTTCCTTCTTACATCATTAAATGTGTATGTTAACTGTATTAGCAAGTCAGCTAATTTTTTAAAGTCAGTTAATCTTTCTTTGTTGGGCTTGTTCATTTATAAAATAATACAATGAAGAGATTGAACTAAAATATCGTGACTTTTTTCTTTTAGTCCATGATTGTGTTTTATAAGTTTAAAATGGAAAGATACTTGTTGAAAATTCAAAAATGAAATACAGCATGATGTTAAAAACAAATAAAGATAAGTGTTACGCTACCTCTGCACTTACTAGTCTGACCAAAAGCTTGTTTTTTAAGCAAAAGATATTGAAAATCTAGAAGTGTTTACAGAAAAATGTAGTTATAAAAGTTGAAAACCTGGGCTGAGGAGATGGCTCAGTGGAATAAGTGCTTGCGTGGCAAGTGCAAGGGCCTGAGTTCAATCCCTGGTTCCGCACCAAAAAAAAAAAAAAAAATTGAAAACCTGTTTTTGTTAGAGTGATAATAGTGTGTGAAAATCTTCAAGTGCTCTCTTTGGTTGTGTAAAATATATGCATTTTTGGTGCTGTTAAGTATTAACAGCAAAGATCAGTGAATTAAAGACTTGTGGTCAGACAAAACTTTTATATGGAATTAATTATTGGCTTGTTTTGAGGTGCAACAGATCAGAACAGCAAGGACACAGATAAACCTAATCTCTGAAATGGATCTCCAACAAGAAACACAAGAAGATTTTAAAGAATGGCTGGAGTCTGTTTTCAGAGATAAAGGAAGTCACCACATCTATTAAACAGTATTGACCAGAATAAAAGATGAAAAATGAAACAGCAGAGGCAATTAAATTCATCTTTGAAACTCATAAAGAAGAATTAAAAATCAAAGCAGGGAAATAAGAGATGAAGTGAAAAAAATCATAATGGGGAAAATAAGGCACTTGAATTACTGGGAAGGAAGGTGCGGCAGTCTGAGGACACCATGACCACAGTCTCTCCTTACCCAGGGTTTCACTTTCTCCGGTTTCAGTTACCCGCAGGTCAGTCTGAAAATATTAAATGGAAAATTTCAGAACTTGCAATCTATAAGTTTAAAATTTCTTGCCCTTCTGAGTAGCGTGGTGCTGTCTCCAAGTCCCATACAGGACATGAGTCACCCCTTTGTCCAACACACAGCCTCCGTGTCCCCTACCCTAGTAACTGTCTTGGTTATCTGCACCTCTGTCGTGGGATATCACAGTGTGTGCAAAGTAACTCTTACTTTACTTGTCATAATGGCCCCAAAGCTCAAGAGTCCCAGTGCTGGCCATTTGGAAATGCCCAAGAGAAGCCGCAAAGTGCTTCCTTTAAGTGAAAAGGTGAAAGTTCTTGACTTAATAAGGAAAGAACAGAAATCCTACGCTGAGGTTGCTAAACTGTACGGTAAGAATGAATCTTCTATCCGTGAAATTGTGAAGAAGGAAAAGGAAATCCGCACTAGCTTTGCCGTCGCCCCACAGAACGCCAAAGTCACGGCCACCGTGCGCGATAAGTGCTTGGTGAAGGTGGAGAAGGCGCTGAGTCTGTGGGTGGAAGACAGGAGCAGGAGCCGCGTGCCCGTCGATGGCAGCGCGCTGCGCCAGAAAGCGCTGAGCCTGTACGAAGACTTCAGCCAGGCTTCCCCGGAACAGAGCTGCAACGCACAGGAGCGAAAGCCGTTCACGGCAAGCAAGGGATGGTTACACAGATTCAGGCGCAGGCTTGGCCTGAAGAATGCAAAAGTCACTGGAGAGGCGGAGAACGCCTGTGAAGAGCCTGCAGCCGCCTGTCCCGTGGAGTGGGACAAGTTGGTTAAGGAGAAAGGATGTCCTCCAAAGCAAACCTTGCCTTGTGGTGAAAGCAGGCAGAAGAGGGGTGAGTACGAAGCAGTAAGATCCTTTATGAGAGATTGCATTCCCTTAACTCTGATTATAGTATTTTGTTATTCCTATGCAGCTGTATTACAGATATCTTATTGTGCCTAATTTATAAGTACACTTTATCATAGGTATATAGAATAGGGAGGAAACATAGGGCATGCAGGATTTGTTTCTGTCCTGGATTTCAGTCATCCATATGGGTCTGCATGATTGTATCCGCTGGTGTATTTTTGTGTGCCTGGCATGCTTTCTTATCATTTCTTCCTGCTTTGCTGTTTGAGTAAGTGCCTGCTTTCTAGTCTATGTGGTTCTAGCTAGATTGATAATTGCAGAATATCTCCTGTGATTTTGTTCTAACTAGTTGTAGTAATTGGCCTTCCTTGGATGGTGACACAAATGCTCAGGTCTTTTGTAGAGAAAGCAGCAGGAAGATACAGGTAGCCTGTTGCCTGAGGGCCATAGTACAGGCAGGCCGTGAGATAAGCTTACAGATGCACCTGGGCTGGCTCTCACCTCTGTGCTAGGGGAGGATACCCATCTATCTACTCAGGAAGTGAGGCCTTGCAGGGAGTAGAGAAGACTCTGTGTTCACTCTAGCTAGGTGTGGAGTTGGTGCAGCCTGAAGACTTAATTAGATGAAGCAATAAAATGTTTTTAAATTTAGTTAGCGTGAATTGGGAATTTATTGCCTCAATCAAAATAGTTCCAATTCATGTTCTAGAGAATAAAGACTATGTCAGGTATGGTTCTGAGAGTTGATGGGCTAGTGAATACTAAGAATACTAAAACACTGTTAAGAGAGGAAATTTGAAAGAAAGGTTACTACTAAAAAGAAAATAGAGGGTTGTGGCTGTGGCTTAGTGGTGGTGAGCTTGCAGTGCCCTGAGCTCCATCCTCAGCACCGTACATCCCATAAAATGAAAATGAGAACTCATTTTTAGGTAAGAGAAATGGAGTCACTTTAACTACTTGAACTTGTTTTGAAATTCTTTTTTTTTCCCCTTGTTTTGAAAATCTTGTGAGGTGACAGGCTTATATATGAAAGCTCAGAGTCTCAACAAGGTAGACCCTCTCCTCCAAATAGGGGCAAAGGTCCTTAAGAAACAAGGATCTGTGCCCTTGAGTGGTCCAGGGACTTGGATTATGGTGATTTCAGGTTAGTAGTGTTTTTTTTCTTTTTCTGTATGTAATACAGGGTCTCACTATGCAGCTAGCTGGGACTCGAGTGATCTTTCTGTTTTCAGCCCCCCCCCCCCCAAGTGCTGGGCTTACAAGTGTGCGCCACCACACCTGGTCTCTGTGGCCAGCTGAGCACATCTGGGGGGCAGGGTGCAGTACCAGGGATTGAACCCTGGCCCCTGCACTTGCCTAAGCAGGTGCTTAGGCTCCTGAGCTATCTTGCCAGCCCTAGGTCAGTAGTATTTCCAGAAGTGTGGAGGAAGCTACTTGTGTTCTAAACTGCACATAACAAAAAATTGTTTTCAACTTAAAATAGCCAGCACACAAAAATAATTAGGCATACAAGGAAATAGGTACTGGAATATGAGCAAGAATTGCTAGGAACATTAGAAACAGTCCTGCGTAAATATTTGAGACTTCGGAATTATCATGAACTATACTTAGGTTTGAAGAGATAGACAAGATCGAAAAATCTTTAGGGATTGTAAAACTATAAAGTGTGATTTAGCAACAGATAGAAATCCTAGAAATGAAAATTATAAACCAAAAACCTATTGTATAACTTTAACAACAGTTAAACATAGATGAAGATAGAATTAACAAAATGGAAAATAAATCAGGAGAAATACAGTTTAGTACTAAGAGGAAATATGAAAGAAGACAGAAGAGACCTAAGAGGATAAACTGAGAACTAACTTGCAATGGAGTTTTGGTAGACTAGTTAGGAGATAGGGAATGGGCAGATTCCAAGAGAACCGTTTGTTTCCTTTAACTGAAAGGTTATAACCCATAATCAAGAAGGCCAGTGAAGGCCATTGAATAGAAAGCAAGCTGCATCTAGACACAAGATGAAACTAGAAAGCCAGATAAAGAATGCATCTTGAAAACACCCGGAGTGAGGGTGGGGATTACCTCCAGGGAAGCTGTAGAAAACCTCTCTGTGGGAAAAGTGGAACCGAAGTGTAATGAAGCCAAAAAATGATGAAAAAACATCACTGCACTGAAAGGATGTTATTGCCAGCATAGTTTCTATTCCAGTGAAAATACCTCTCAAGACAGATTTTTTTTTTTTTTTTTTTTTTTTAGCAAAGTTTGTCACCTGATGGGAATTCTACAGGATTAACTTAAGGCAGAAGGAATATCTTAAGATGCAAGCAACAACAAGCAAAGAATGTCTTTTTTTTTTTTTTTTGGTGGAACCAGGGATTGAACTCAGGCCCTTGTGCTTGCCAGGGAAGCACTTATTCCACTAGCCATATCCCCCGCCCAAGACTGCAAATTATTGACAGTTTATGCAAGTATGTCATCAGCCATCAGGTTAGTTATTGGCATAGGGCCTAAGTAGACACACCCCTGAGGAAATACAAGTAATGAAACTATGAAGAAGTGTTTGTTTAGTAAATTAAGCCATTCCTGTCTGTCTGTCTGTCTGTCTGTCTGTCTGTCTGTCTCTGTTTTCTCTCTCTGACTTTGTGTCTGTCTGTCTGTCTGTCTGTCTGTCTCTCTCTCTTTTTCAGTCTCTCTCAACAAGGCTGATGTGGCCTCATACTCTCAGTCTTCCTACTTTAGCCTCCTCACTGATGAGATGACTGGTGTAGACCACCACATCTACTTTAAGCATTCCTTGTAGCAAAAAATTTTGGTTTTACATCTCAAGAACTATACCTAGGAATGAGCATCAGGGATTGATATTCTACATAGGTATCCGTCACCTTGAAAGAGCCCAAATGAGTCACTAGCCCAACACCCCAACAGGAAGAGACTCTGTCCCTATTCGTGTCCTCTTGCTATGTGACTTGCTTCCTTCCCCATTTGGTCCTGGATTTAATCAATTTTACCTGAGCAATGGTGCTTGTAATCTCATTGGTTGCCCATAGTTTTGTCCCACCTCATGCCCACCTAAGCGAGTTCCCAAGTCTTCTCCACCTTAGACCCACCTCACCAAATGGTTTTCCTCTATAAAAGTCCCTGGAAGAGACAGCTTCCCTGGAACAACCCACTTGGGCCCCCCTCCTGTCCCTCTCTCAGACAGGAGCTTTCTTTCCTGCAATAAATATATTCTGCTCATAAAAACAAAAAAAACCAAAAAAAAAAAAATTATAAAGATCTTCACCCTGGAGTGGGGGTGCATGCTTACTATTGAGTACACTGGGAGACTGAGGTAGGAGGATCATTGCGAGTTCAGAACCAGTCTGGGCTACCAAGAGAGCTAAAGGCCAGCCTGCGCTGCGTAGCAAGACCCTGACTCCAAAAGACCAAAGAAAGGAGCCAAGGTAACTTTACTGAGATGTTAAGAATATGGTGTTACACCATTTTGTTGGACTGGTCATACAAATATTTAAGTGCTACTTGTTTAAGAATATATAATAGACCAGTAGAGGATGCAAGTAGATCCCTTGAGGCGAGGCTACTCACTGAAAATGGGTTAGGCTGTTTGGAATTTTATTAATTTATCCTATACGTCTGTATCCCTGGTGTCTCCCATGTATTTCACTTATATGTCATCTTACTGTGTCCATGTCTTTTTCTCAGGGAGTCTCTCCATCTGCTCTTTTCCTCTAGGGCTGTCATGGAGATGGGCCGTGAAGAAGGCTCACCTGGGCGTTGAGATGGGCTGTGTGCTGCTGCATGTTCTGTGCTTTCTTTCCCTGGACTCACTTGTTCTTCTCTCCAGCTGCCACCATCGTGGTGGCTCTAGGGCTCGTGAGGCTTTAAATAAATGTGCTCAACATACTTCTACCTCTGTAGTGATTTACTGAGAACTTTTTTGATGATGAAAATGTTCAATATACAGGCACATTTGTGGCTGCTGAGCACTAAAATACAGCTAAGGCTACTGAGGAACTGAACTTTTAATCTTACTTAGTCTTAAATTTAACTACCTGGGACTGTTTGCTCCCGTTGGGTAGCACTTCTTTAGAGACATAGCCTCTAGGTTGTTGCTTCATTGCTGATTTTCTGCCACGAGTGATGGCTTTTTTGTTGTTTGTTTGTTTGTTTGTTAATTTTTGGATAGTTTGGGGGATTAATCCCAGGGCCTTGACACTAAACTACATCCCCAATTTTTTTTTTTAATTTTTAATTTTATTTATTTGTGTGTGTGTGTGTGTGTGTGTGTGTGGCCAGTTCAGCCCACCAGGGGGTGAGGCTGGCTGGCATGTGGTGCTGGGGGCTTGAACCGCGGTCCCTGTGCTTTGCTGAGCTTGTTCTAAGTAGGTGCTTTAGACCACTGAGCCATCTCACCAGCCCATCCCCAATTCTTTTAAAAATATTTTTACATTTTTGAGACAAGGCTTGCTAATTGGCTAAGTTGCTCTCTTCAGGCTTCCCAAAGTGTTGGGATTGTACGTGTTTACTCCAGCACTCTTTCTTCCACTGTGAGATCACTCCTTCTGCCACTCCCACCCCCATCAGTGATAGCCACACACAATGGGGACGATTCCTGACACCCCAAGAACAGGAAGCTTGATGGTGGGTGCAGCCTGAGGTTTAATCTTTCCTGAATCTGAAAAACTTAATGGGATCTGATCCTCTTGTACTTAAGGTTCTGTGGAGTACACAGAGTATTCAATTTTATTTTCTTTCCTCTACTTCCTCTTCCTCTTCCTCCTCTTCCTCTTCCTGCTCTTCCTTCTCCTCCTTCTCCTCCTTCTCCACCTCCTTTCTTTGAGACAGGATCTCAGTGTGTAGTCTAGGCCGGTTTTGAACTCACTGTGGAGCTGATGCTGGCCTCGAACCTGCGTTGATCCTCATGTCTCAGCTGCAGTTACAGGCACACGCCACCATGCCTAACTCTCTTTGCTCCAAAGAGTTAATTGCTACTAAAGTCTAGAAGTAAAAAAATTAAAGCTTAGATTTATTCTTTGTCAGGGAAAAACAAAATGTTCCATTTTCTGTTGGTTTAAGTTTTTTGTTTCACGTTCTTTTACTGGGAGTTGTGGGTTTTGACATGGTGTTGACAAATATGACATGTATCCTGCCACCTTTGTTGCTGGCACCCTTCTCCAGGGCTCCACAACGCACCCCATGCACTTTCTAAAGGGACTAGAGAAGGCTGTGGCTCCTGCACAGGAGGCTTCCAGAGAGGGCCCCATCTAGTGGTTAGGTCATAAATTTCTGTGCTCTGTGGAGCAAGTGTTTGCTTTTTTTTGTTTTTTGTGCTGCTGCTTCTTCACAGAAGAACTATTAAACGAGATGACCAATAAAGCATATTAGATTCAATCAATATTCATTCTTGGGCTGGGGAGATGGCTCAGTAGAATAAGTGCTTGCCTGGCAAGCACAAGAGTCTGAGTTCAATCCCTGGTACCGCAAAAAAAAAAAAAAAAGTTCATTTTTTGTTTGTTTGTTTGTTTTTTGTTCTTTTTTTAATATTTAATATATGGTCTACAGGGGCTTACTACACAGATCAGACTTGTAGTGATCCTCCTGTTTCAGCCTCCCAAGCTCTTGAGATTATAGGTATGCACCACCATGCCCAGTCTCGTTCATTGTATTTTTTTTTTGGCAGAACGAGGGATTGAACTCAGGCCCTTGTGCTTGCTAGCGAAGCGCTTATTCCACTGAGCCATCTCCCTGGCCCCTCGTTTATTCTTTTTTGTTCGTTCAAGTTTTTTTATTTACCCACTGCAGTGGGTATCAAACCCAGGGCCTCACACTTTATGCCACTGAGCTTCATTCTTAGTCCCAATCCCTTCTTATGTTACTTTATCTTATCATTTATTTATTTAGAGATAGTTTTCGTATGTAGCCCAGGCTTTGAACTCACTGTGTAGCCCATACGGGCCTTGAACTTAAGATCTTTGGGCTTCAGATTCCTGAGTGCTGGAAATACAGGCTACAGGCTTGCACCACCATGCCCAGCCCTTCTTACTGAAAATGGAGATTTGGGAATGATCCTAGGTGAAAGCGCTCTTGCTCACCAATGGTCCACTCCGCATCTGTGTTCATGAGACAGACCCTGAAACTCTCCCTGGGATGGCGCAGCAGTGAGTGGTCTGAGAAGTACCCTGGGCTCTCCTGGCTTTGGTTTTGAGAGGATCAGAGCACCATACCCAGCCTCCTTTGTCCTCTGGTGCTTGTGCGAATGCTGCTGCAGTTTTTTTCTCTGAAAGTAAGAAGAGGGACGGAATGGACACCAACTAGGTGAGGGCCCAGGAATGCTCTGGAACTTGGCTGCATGGAATGAAGATGGCCCAGGGAGGAAGAGAAACATCTTGGAGCGATGCTTTTGGGACCCAGTGCACCCAAGTGAGGGGCTCCTTCCCCATCACACTCACTGGCCTGGTCGTCTGCAGGGCCGTTCACGTCAAAGCAGAATGCTTTGCTGTCTCCAGGAGGTTCCAAGAATGAAATCAGACTGGTCACTTGCGGTGGAGTCTCTATTTCTTAACACATACTAAGTGTGAAGACATAAGAGCAGGTTCTTGTCAGTTTAAGGTGACAAGAGTCAGAACCTGGAACCAGGATAGTTTTCTGCCTACTTTTATTTCTATCTCTTCTCACCTTAAATTGTAAAGTAAGACATAATCTCCTTTTTCCTTTTCTGGGAAGTTAAAGAAAAAGTGGGATTATGAGGAAATATTATGAGATAATGACTGTGCATCCTAAGTGAATGCCTCACAGGTGGGCCTGGGCTGGCCTTTGTCGGCTAAGCTATACTTTTAATCAAGTTGGTTTATTCAGGAGAGAAGAATGCAACCTAGGCTGGCAGGGAAAGTACTTTCTGGGATGTCAACATTTTGCTTAATATTGCCTTTTCTGGTTCTGAGAAACAGGTTTGCTTCTTTTTGTTCATAGATGAGATAAGAATCACTTGGTTTTATTGATGTGGTAGCTGATGGTAAATCTAGGTCATAGTTTTAAAAATAAGAAAGTAGATCATCCTCTGTAGTGGGGGGAATATCCATACATTGTTAAGCAAAACAGTTTTCACAGGAACAGCTGTTTGTCCTTGTCCTCTGGAACCTGGGGCTTTGATGAGGGTACTGGGGAGTTCCTTAAGTTAGTTTTACACACAGGTATGTTTTTAGAATTCCTGTTTGTTTCTTTTTTTTTTTTGGCGGGGTGGGGCTGGCTCCAAATGACCTCAGGGCAGGTTTGGCAGGCTGGAGTTGTGGGGATCAAACCACAGCAACCTGAGGCTGACTGCTTTGTTGAAGCAGCCACTTAAACAACTGAGCTAAGGGGCAGGCCCCCCTATTTGTTTCTAATCCTTAATTTTTCAACCATTTTCCATATTCATTTTATTATTTAATCTCTTGTTACAAATAGATTTAAAGTTAATTAAAAGGGATAGTTTTAAACATGTGTCTAATTTGTATAGTATTTATAGAAAACCAATTTGTAAAAAAAATTGCTTTACTTTTTGCCTTGACCTTTTTATGTGGTGCTTTTTTTTTTTTTGTAAAATCTACATATGATAACATTTCTAAAAAAAAAAATTTCTAACTTTGACTGGTTTCAAGTGTTCACTTTCCTGACATTAGGTCTATTCACGTTATCATGCAACCATGACCTCTGTCTCTCCGAAAGTCTACATCATTCAACACTGGAATTCTATACTTGTTAATCAGTAAGTTCCCTTCACTGCTTCCTCCTAGTTCTGGCAGCCATCGTTGTTTCCTGCCTTTAAATTTGACTTCTCTAGGAACCTTACATGATGGGATTATATCCGGTTGGTCATTTTCTTATGTCACCGAGCAGAGTGTTACCAAGATACATCTGTGTTGTAGTCTGTGTGAGAATTGCCTTTCTTTTTAAGGATAATATTCGGGTGTGTATATTACACTTGTTTATTTGTCTAGTGATAGGCACTTGGGTTGTGTCCAGAATAACGCTTCTGGGAACACAGGTATACAAGCATCTGTTGGAATTCTTTCAGTTTTTCTGGATTATATGATAAATCTCTTTTTAGAAACTGCTAAACTTTTTTCCACAGCAATTGTGCACCTTGTTACGTCCTAGCATCATCATCATCATCAGCAGCAGCAGCAGCAGCGGTACATGAGGGCTTCACTTCCTCTGCCTCCTGCCAATAGTTGATGTTTGTGTATATGTTGTGTTTTTATACCATGTTTGACATGCTGATGCCAAAATGTCAGCCCAGTGTTGTGTTAAAGGGAGAGGGCCTCTGAACACGCCAAGATGCCCTGCAACCCCTTCCTTTCTAGTGAGAAAAGGAAGCCTCTTCACTCAGTCCCAGCAACTTTACCCACTCCTTTCTTTTTTTTTTGGCAGAACCAGGGATTGAACTCAGGCCCCTGTGCTTGCCAGGGAAGCGCTTATTCCACTGAGCCATCTCCCCGGCCCCACTCATTCTTTTCTCTATCAGTGTGCATAGGGAAGAAACAGGACTTTCTTTTGGTGGTGCTGGGGATCAAACTCAGAGCAAAAAGCAACTGTGTATCTCTGAATTGAGCTGTGGTGTATACATTGTCATGGGGTTGTGGGGTGTGGCTCTTCTTTCACTGGGAGAAAAGTTAACCGGTCTGCATGCTGTTTGCATTGAGTTTAGGTGTGATGCTGAGCCAATTTTATGAAGGAACATGAGATGGGAAGTTACAAGATGGCTTCTCTGTCTTATAGGATAAGGGATTTGCAAATGTAAGACACTGAAGGCAAGAAGTCTGTACCTGGCAGACTACAGAGCATTGTCCCAGCTCTCACCATACAACACCAGTTCCCGCTCACCCCCTTGTTGCTTCTCTTGCACAGGGATCATGGCCCAGGTTGCGATGTCCACACTGCCCATTGAAGATGAGGAGTCCTCAGAGAGCAGGATGGTGGTGACCTTTCTCATGTCTGCCCTTGAGTCTATGGTGAGCTCACAAATGGGTAGGGTGGATATGGTTGATTTATTTTTATTTTTATTTTTATTTTTATTTTTATTTTTATTTTTATTTTTTTTGCGGAACTGGGGATTGAACTCAGAGCCTTGCGCTTGCCAAGGAAGCACCTATTCTACTGAGCCATCTCCCTGGCCCCTGGTTGATTTATTTTTGTGAAACACTAATTTTATGTTTCGGGGTTTTTTGTTGTTACTGGTTTCAGGATTGGGGGTTGAGACCTCGACCTTGTACATGCTGGGCAGGTGTTCTATCACAGAGGGCTGCACCCTCAGCCCTTTTTATGTGTTTAGAGATGGGGGTCTCACTAAAGTATCGCAGACTGACTTTGAACCTGTAATCCTCTTTCCTCAGCTATTTCAGTAGCTGGGATTATAGGTGTATGCCACTGTGCCAGCTGGTTTTATGGTATTTTGAAGCAAGGCCTCATTGTGTAGCCCAGGAAGGCTTAGAATTTATAATCTTTCTGCCTCAGCTTCTCAAGTTTGGCGGCCCAAGTCATCAATTATAAACGGGTCCTGGATATGTGTATGGTGGTGGTGGTATTTCTGAGATTGAACCTAGGGCTTTCACATTGAGATACATTGCTATATCTTTTAAAATGTTTTATTTAGCTAAGTCTCTAAATTGCCTAGGCTGCAATGAGAAAAAAGATTTGTACTAATAGTGTTTGGACAGGATATCCTGTCTGCATCTTGTACTACGGATAACCACTAAGAAGATAACAATGTACAATGTATTAATTATTGAAACTGTCCTATTAATCAGTTTTGAAACTATTTCATAGCTATTTGTTTCTCAATAAAAAAATTAAAAAACAAAAATAAATAAATAAATAAATAAATAAATTGCCTAGGCTGGACTGGAATTTAAAACCCTCTGCCTCAGCTTCCCAGAGCTCTGGGATTGCAAGAATGTGTCACCAGACCTGGCTTCTTATTGGTTTTAATACCACTAAGTGGTATATTTGTTATAATACAAAGGTACCTTTTTTTTTTTTTTTTTCCCCATTAGCTCTGCTGGGATTGGGCCAGAGCCTTGTGCATGTTGGGCAAGTGTTCTAGCACTGAGCTATGTTCCTAGCTCTGTTAATATTTTGAGATGGGGTCTCCTGAGTTCCCTAACTTGCACTCAGATTTGCAGCCATCCTGCCTTTAGCCTTCCCACTAGCTGGGGTTGCAGGTGTGCACCACCATACCTGGTACTTTTATTTTTTTCTAGGAGAGATGCAGAGTTGAATTTGCTAGAGTACGTGAACCTTCCTAGAAAGCAAATTTCAGTAGATTGGAGAATTCTAATACTATTTATTTACAAAATGTTTATTTTTTCAGCCCTCCCAAATATCATTGACTCGATAAAATTGAAATCACCTATCTTTTGAATAATGGTAGTACTGAATAAATCATGATATATTTATAAAATAGGAGTTTTTTTTTTTCCTTTTTGAGACAGAATCTTGCTATACAGTTCAGGCTGGCCTTGAACAGCATAGCCCAAGCTGGTCTGAACTTGCAACAGTCCTCTTGCCTCAGCACCTTAGTGCTGGGATTACAGGTGTGCACCGCCACTCCTAGCAGTTAAAATGGGAGATTTTTGGGATATGTTTCCCTGGCTGGCTTTCATAACTTCTTGCTCAAATAATCTTCTTGCCTTAGCCTCCCAAATAGCTGATCTACCAGAGTATGTTCCTATGTTGGGCTGGGGATATATAGCTCAGCGGTATAAGTGCCTGCCTGGCAAGGACAAGGTCCTGAGTTTGATACCCAGTACCAAAAACAAAAACCAAAAACCTGTGAACAGAAGGCAGTCATCAACTGCAGGGCCTTAAACCTATGAAATGTAAGCTAAGTAAATGAGTAAAAGTGTGTGGTGACACATGCTTGTAATCCCAGCTCTCTGGGAAACTGAGGTGGAGGGCTGTAAATTCCAGCCCAGCCTAGGCAGCCCAGTGGCTTAGCTACATATGAACACTTTTTAAAGAATACTTCCTCCCATAGGAGTATGTTTAGTAAAATAAGTGAGATATTTGCTTAGCTGTGACTCTAGTTGTGTATGTCTAGTGAAATCCTTGAACTGTGTAGGGAACCCAGGGTGGACCTGGTCATCACCCCACCGGCAGTGTTCACCTCGGCCCTCCCACTGTGTGCTGATTAAGTGTCCTGCAGACTGTGTGCACACCTGTTTCTTGAGGACTCTGACCTGTGATATTATAGAGGCTCCTGCTTTTCTTTTTATGAGCTGTGTTTTCTTTTTAAAACCCAGGACAAATTCCGTTTAGAAAGATAAGTACATTAATGGGGCCCTGGTGGTGTGAATGAGCCACTCGTCCTCAGGTGATGGAGATGGGAGGGTTGGAAGTCCAAGGACACCCTGACCTACCTAGCTAAGACCTTGCTCAAAACTGAAATGAAAGAAGGAAGGAAGGAGAGGGGTGGGAAAGGATGAGAGGGAATGAGGGCAGAAGGCCAGTAAGCAGTATTGGCTATAAGTTGGTGCCAGGTTACATACGAAGATAATTTCAAGTGTTGGGTTTTTTTATTCATCAAGCAGAAATGATGCTTTTATGCAACTAAACACAACCTGATGCTTGCTGTTTGTGTCATAGTGTAAAGAACTGGCGAAGTCCAAGGCAGAAGTGGCCTGCATTGCAGTGTATGAAACAGACGTGTTTGTTGTCGGAACCGAGCGAGGACGTGCATTTGTCAATACCAGAAAGGATTTTCAAAAAGATTTTGTAAAATACTGTAAGCATTATGTTTTGTATATTATTAAATTTAAAGCTAAGTATAGATAAGACATTTTTCTGAAACATATACTGAAAAACTTTGGTGTATTTGTGGAAACATTATTATTATTATTTTGTATTTTAGGGAAGGGTCTACAGGGTGTTCAGGGTCTTACTACTAGATCAGACTCATAGTGATCCTCCTGTTTACAGCCTCCCAAGTGCTGGGATTACAGGCATTCGCCACCACATCCAGTCTCAATGTCCCTCTCAGCGCACCCTGGGGGTGGGGCCAGCATGGCAGGCCCTGGTATTGAACCCCTGGCCTTTAATCCACTGAGCTATTTGGCCGGCCCTTTTTATTGTTATTATTATTAATAGTAGTAGTATTAATATTAGTATTTTGTGTTTGGTTCAGGGTCTCACTACTCAGCATGGACTCATAGTGATCCTCTGTTTTCAACCTCCCAGTGCTGGGATTACAGGCGCCTGCCACCATGCCAGGACTTAGTGGCTGGCTCAGCATGCCCCAGGGGCAGGGCCGGTATGGCATGTGCTGCCAGGGGTTGAACCCTGGTCCTTGCTCTTGCCTAAGCAGGCGCTTAGTCCACTGACATATTTCGCCAGCCCTTGGAAACATTATTAAAGAGTTTAAGAAAAATGATACCCAGGTGTTGGGTGTGCCAGCTTGTCATCCCAGCACTTGGGAGGCTGAGGCAGGAAGATCACCGTAAATTTGAGGCCATCCTGGGCTACAGTATGTTCTGAAAAACATAATTAAGACCATGTCTGAGAAAACAAGAAAAAAAGAAGAGAAAAATGATAAATGTTTATTATATTGTGTTCTTAGCTTAACATTTACTCTGCTTTGGTGGAATATTTCAAAAAGAAGTTAAGAGAGTTTTGTTTTATTTTATTCTATTTTTTATAGGAAGTTGAAGTTTTATATTGGTTAAGTTCAGGTAAATAGGTCTCCCTGTGTCCCCTCATTTGGAGCTGGGGATTGTATTCAAGGCCTCACACTAAGCTGCTATCCAGTCTTCTTTCTTTTCTTTTGAGATAGAGTCTTTTTTTTTTTTTTTTTTTTTGGCGGTACTGGGGATTGAACTCGGGACCTTGTGCTTGCCAGGCAGGCACTTACTCTACTGAGCTATCTGCTCAGACCCTTGAGATAGAATCTTCTTAAGTTGCTCAGTTTGGCCTCAGATTTTGCTGTTCTGCCTCAGCTTCCCAAATAGCTGGGATTATAGTTGTACACCATCGAGTTGTCTAGAGAGGTTTAGTTAGCTTACATTTCTCAGCTTTAAGGTTCTCTGCATTTGATGACTGCCATCTGTTAACTGTTCTTTTTCTTTTTGATACTGGGGATCAAGCTCAAGACCTTGCCCTTGCCAGGCAGATACTTATACCACCAAGCTATATCCCCAACCCAACAGTTCTTCTCTTGTTTTGATTTTTTTTTTTTTTTGGCCTTTTTGAGACAGGGTTTCATTCAGGCTGGTCTTGAACTTACTTTGTAGCCCCAGCTTCGAATTTTCAGTGATTCCCTGCCTCAGCCTCCCAAGTGCTGCAGTATAGGTGTGTACCCTAGAATTACAGCCATGTATGCCTGGCTTCTTGTTAATTATTGCTGCATTGAACAATTCTGGCTTTGTATAGTTGATGTTCTTTTAATGTTCTGCAAAGCTCACAAAGCTTTTCTAGCTCCTAGGACAGTCATCTGTCCCAGTCTTATGATCCTCCATATTGGAGCATTAGTGAATTTGGTTGCCACTGAAATAAAGCCAGTAGTGAAACTGACAGGGATGTTAGGACCTATGATCTTTCACACTGTGACTGTCTTGTGTGTCTACCTTAACAGTTTCCATTGGTATTACGTTCACTCATTGATACAGCATTTAAGTGTGGAATGGAAATCAAAAAATATAGGAATATTTATAGGCACATAGTACACAGACCACTGGGATCCCGACTTACATTCTGTCATTGTCATCTTATTTATTTATTTATTTGCGGAACCGGGGCTTGAACTCAGACCCTTGAGCTTGCCAGGCAAGCACTTATTCTACTGAGCCATCTCCCCGTCCTCATTGTCATCTTAGATGGTGCTCATGATAAGTGGAGCAGGTCATGCATGCGTGCTTGTTTAGCTCACTAATTTAGATTCTTAATTGTATTTGTAGAAAGGCGCACCTGGCACTGGTGCTAGCTCAGCTGTGGAGTGCTTGCCGAGGCCCTGGCCTGGTCTCCAGCACCTGCTGAGGGACTGCCTGTAGCTCAGCACTCCTAGTTCCCCCCACCCTGTTCTAATCCTTTAAGGTTAATGGTAGTAACCTATTTTTAAAGTTTTGTAAATCTTAAATTCTGAGCAAGTTTTAGAGCATGACTATGTTTGCATATTGAAGTTTGTACTAACAATGTGTCTGGGTGATATGCAGATCGGCTGCTGTCTGCCCTGTGAGTCCCGTAACTCCACTGTGGCTGTGCTCAGCCTCCCTCCCCCATGCTGCCGGGCTTGTGTGGTTCCGTGCCTGTGACCACGCACTTGGGGTTTCCTTCAGCTGCAGGGTGTAGCTCCTGCCTGTTGGTATTTTTTTTTTTTTTTAAATCTGGGGGTCAAACTTTGGACTTCGTGCTCGCTATGCAGGTGCTTATTCCACTGAGCTATCTCCCCAGCCCTCTGCCTGTTGGTATTTGCATGTTACTCTGCCTGTTGGTATTTGCATGTTACTTTTATTTCACTAATTTGATGCCATGGGAAATGGTCTTTTTCTCTTAACCTAGCATCACAGGTGCTCAGTTTAGGATGGTTACATCCTGATAAACCCATTGTAATTTGAAGTAAAAAGTTGCTTTTTGTATATCATACAGAAATCAGCCCATAGTTAATGTGGGCAGTACCCTAACATTTGTCCACAGTCAGGCAAAATCTTGTCATACAAAGGCTGTCTTGGAATAAATGTTGAATATCCTGTAGCTTATTGAATACTGAAAATGAAAGAATAGTTATATGAATAGTTTTAGGAATTTTCTGGGAAAATTCTAAGTCCTTTGTGGGTGTTAGGAAAGTGCTGTTGAACAGAAATAAATGTCTCTTGTGTAATTTAACATTTTGTCATTTTGTTTATTTTGAGACAGGGTCTCACTGTGTAATTCAGGCTGAATTGCTGTAAGTTGGAGGCCAGCCTAGACTATAAGCTGGGTTCAGGGCCAGCCTGAGCTACAAAAGAAGCCCCTGTGTCAAAAAAAAAGTTTTTGGGCCAGGGGGATGGCTCAGTAGAATAAATGCTTCCCTGGGAAGCGCAAAGGCCTGAGTTCAATCCCCAGTTCTGTCAAAAAAAGAAAAGTTTTTCCTTAATCATGTGTGTGTATATGCGCACGTGCACACACACGTGCATATGTATGTGTATCTGTGTGTCTTTGTGTGTATTTGAGGGTACCCTACCATTGAGATCTGTTGCCAGTTTTTTTTTTTCTTTAGGCAGAACCGGGGATTGAACTCAGGTCCTTGCGTTATTGAGCCATCTCCCGTCCCTGCAAGTTCTTTGTTTCTTTTTTTTCTCTTTTTTAAGTTCTTTGTTTCTTGAAACAGTTTTGCCATGTTGCCTGGTCTGGTCTGGGGTTATAATCCTCCTGTGTCAGGATGTTAAATAGCTGGCAATATCTTTATAACAAATCACACATGAGCATACAGGAATAAAATATTCTTTCTGCGTGTGTGTGTGGAGCTGGGGATTGAACCTGCGGTCTTGTGCGCGCAAGGCAGGAGCTGTGCCGCTAAGCCATATCCCCAGCACCTCATTGTTTTTTAAAGGTGAGGTCATTCTATGTGGTTTAGACGGCCTTGGACGCACTGTGTAGCCCAGGCTGGCCTCAACTTGGAGCAGTCCTCCTGCCTTGGCCTTCAGAGTGCTCCACCACACTTGGCAAAATGCTTTGGTTAAAACTCTTAATAATTTTCTAGGTGTTGAAGAAGAAGAAAAGGCTGCAGAGATGCATAAAATGAAATCTACAGCACAGGCAAATCGGATGAGTGTGGACGCGGTGGAAATCGAAACACTCAGAAAGACGGTTGAGGACTATTTCTGCTTTTGCTATGGTAAGAGCAACACACTTTAGTTCTTTTCTTTTCTTTTTTTTTTCTGTATGGGGAATTGAACTCAGGGCCTTGCGCTTGCCAGGCAGGCGCTGGGCTGCGGAGCCCTGGCCACACTTTAGTTTTTGAAGAGATAAATTATATAATTAAGTTGTCTAAAGGTAGACTATGTAATCAATAGTCATCTAATGTTTTCACAGGTTGAATAGCTTCTCAAATACAGGATTAAATCAGGAACAGCTTTTTTTTTTTCGCTTTCCACCTTGGAGGAACCCAGAAGTGATTATATGAGAGTTGTTTATTTTTGACCCATGTGCTGCTGATCTCCCTAGTTTCTGCAAGTCACCTTGGTTAATCCAGTCATGTGTATCATGGAGCTTTTTAGGGAAGAGAAAGGGGGTGTGTACAGGTGAAATCCAACTCTGAATCTAGCCTCTGTAGGACTCACTGCCAAGTGAACAGAGGTGAAAGTTGTTTTTATCCAGTAAGTTTCCAGTGAGAATATTAGTTTAAGGACTTCCTGATATTTATTTATTTATTTTATTTTTGATGGACGGGGATGAACTCAGGACCTTGTGCTTGCCAGGGAAGTGCTTATTCCACTGAGCCCTCTCCCCAGCCCCTTTCCTGATATTTATAATAGCTGGGTTTGTCAGGCTTCCCTCACCTGGCTGAGTTTTGTATAGCCCTACTCACTAAGCCAGCGTCAACCAGACCTGGCTCTGCCCCAGGGGTGCTATAACCCTGCGCTACATCTCCATGCCTTTTCATTTTTTATTTTATTATTTTTTTATGTATTTGGCATAAGGTCTCACTATGAGACCTTATGACCACTGAGCTATCTCACCACCCCCCTTTTTTTCCCCTTAATTTTGAGGTAGTATCTCTGAGTTGCTTGGGTTGGCCATGAACTTGTGATCCTCTTGTCTCAGCCTCCTGAGTACACAGGATATAGGCTTACACCACTGTGCCTGACAGTATAGACCATTTTATTTAAAAAAAACTTTTTAGTACTTTCAGTTTTTAAATATTACTTAACAACAATAGCAAAATAACCATTGTAAAGGCATAGAAGAGTACAAGAAAGCAACCAGTTTTATTTTTGAAGATTTATTTTTATTTTATTTTATTATTATTTTTGGTACTAGGGATTGAACTCAGGACTTTGTGCTTGCCTTGTAAGCACTGTTCCACTAAGCTGTATCCCTGGCCCTTGTGTAGATTTTAGGATAAAATATTTTCTGTACTTTACATTTTGATCCTTTGGCTGTGGTTCAAGTTTAGAGCTTTAGCTAGAGTTCTAATGCTGGAATACTATTGTTCAGTAGTTTTGAAACCCATTTCTATTGAAAAACATGAATAGCGTGTGTTAAGCTGTATGAGTTGACGATGGTTTAGTTTTTGATTTTAACTGCTTAGTGACACTTACCCTCATGTCTCCTCCCTCAGGGAAAGCGCTAGGCAAATCCACAGTGGTTCCCGTTCCCTACGAGAAGATGTTACGGGACCAGTCAGCGGTGGCGGTGCAGGGGCTTCCAGAAGGAGTTGCCTTTAAACACCCTGAGAACTATGATCTTGCTACACTGAAGTGGATTTTGGAAAACAAAGCAGGGATTTCATTCATCATTAAGAGGTGAATGCTCTCTCCCTTGTTACCCAATCAACAGTTTATTCAGATAAAGTTGAATTATTTAACTTATGTTAATGCAGATACTATTTATATTTATGCTTTATATTTATTTTGTACATTCACACACAGTCTTTGTTTTGTTTCAATACAGACCTTTCCTCGAGCCAAAGAAACACCTAGGTAAGCGGTTGCTTTATTGACACAGCCACCTGGATTCCTTACCTCTTGGCCAGAATCGAATCCATTTTAATGCTTTCTCTTTATTTATTTATTTATTTATTTATGTGTGTGTGTGTGTGTGTGTGGCCAGCTCAGCCCACCAAGGGGCGGGGCAGGCTGGCATGTGGTGCTGGGGATTGAACCGCGGTCCCTGTGCTTTGCTAAGCTTGTTCTAAGTAGGTGCTTTGGACCACTGAGCCATCTCACCAGCCCCTTTCTGTTTGTTTTTATTGAGACTGATGTAAAACATTTTGGAGTGGGGTTATTGTAGTAAACTCGTAAAGAGGTTCAGTGAGGTGCAGAAGTAGAGGCTTCATTGTTGTTTTCTCTTGAATCAGGTCTTACTATGTAGCCCAGCCTGGCCTCGAACTCCTGATTCTCTTGCCTCAGCCTACCCAGTGCGAGGATTATATACATGCATTGCCACATCCAGCACAAGGCTTGTTTTTAGCTCTACTGCTTGTTTTATGCTGGAGAGGCAAAGTTTTATGTCTGTAGTATGTAGTGTAGTAAGATTGCATACTGGATCTGTCATCCTTTTTTTTTTTTGAGGAACTGGGAATTGAACTCAGGACCTTGCGCTTGCCAGGCAAGCACTTACTCTACTGAGCCATCTCCCCAGCTCCATGGACCTGTCATTCTTGCACAGAATTATGAGCTGCATTTTATTTACCTAGCATGCGCTGAGGCAAGACATTGTTGGGCAGATAATTGTTTGGTGTGAGGGGAGAGAGAACTGCATACAGCATCAAGGCTTTGTTTTTGTGCAGCTAGGGTTGGACAGAGGGCCTCTGCCTCTAGGCAAGGAAGGCAAACTACCACCGAGCTATCTTACCCCGAGCCCTGCTCCTCATTAGCGCTCTGGAGGGGAGGTGTACTGGAAGGTAGGCAGGTCCTTAAAGCAGTCCCAGAGAGAACATCGTGGTCACTTGTGACAGCAGTTCAGAGAAGGTGCAGTGGGAGTTCCTAGAGGCTGGCTTCTTTTGTCATTGGGGGCTTGATTCAGAAGATGACATTCTGATGGGCCCCTAAAGAGTGAGGAGGAACAGTATGCCCTTTCTGTGTGAAGGGAAAGTGTAAAATACAGAAGGGCGCCCTTTAGAGCCAAGTTTGAGACTTTTGAACATAACTGTTATGTTTGGAAACCTAACCATGTAGGATAAAGGAAAAAATGATACATACATGTACACATTTTACTTTCTTTGGTGAGTTTGAGTCTAGGATGGGATAGCGAACAGCTTACTTTCCATTTCCATTTTGAAGGAATGTGGAGAAAATTGTATTAGAGTTGTTTATTTGTAACAGAAAACTGGGGGAGTCTTTTTAAAAAAATTTTATTTATTTATGTGTGTGTGTGTGTGTGTGTGTGTGTGTGTGTGGCCAGCTCCGCCCACCAGGGGGCGGCCCTGGCTGGCATGTGGTGCTGGGGGATTGAACCGTGGTCTCTGTGCTTTGCTAAGCTTGTTCTAAGTAGGTGCTTTAGACCACTGAGCCATCTCACCAGCCCCACTGGGGGAGGCTTGATGTGGGCCCAGGCCAGCCTCAGACCTGCTGCATAGTTGCCCGGGACGAGCCTGCTCCGTGGCGTGGGCTGGTCTCATACCAACTGTCCTCCTGCTGAGCCTTGATTACAGCTGGATGCCTTCGCTGCTGGCTTTTTTGTGTGCTTTTTGAGAAAAAGTCTCAATATGTGGCTCAGGTTGGCATCAAACTCAATGTGATGAGACCAATGCTGACCTCATTTTCATGCCTTAGTCGTCCCAAGTGCTGGATTTCAGGTGTGCACCCTCATCCCCAGAACACGTTTTATGTTTTTGTCAAATAATCTTTTTTGTTTGTTTGTTTTGTTATTTGAGACAGGTTCTGCCATGTAGTTCAGGCTGGCCTTGAATTCACTGTGTAGCCCAGACTGGCCTTACACTTATAGTCCTCCTGCCTCAGCCCTCCAAGTGCTGGAATTACAGGCGTGTGCCACCACATCTGGGTTAAATAACCTTTTGAAAACATTTTCAGCATGGTGAAAAAATAAAATCTCCACTACTCTTACTTTGCTGCAGAAGCTCTCCTTTCTTTGTGGGTTGCCCTGCAGCTTGGTTTAAAGTTGGCTGACCTGGGGATGTTGTATGAGAAAGAAGGCAAGACTTTCTCAAGCTGCAGCTGCTGTCTGATGAGCTACCACACGTGAAGCACACAGGTTGAGCAGCCGCCACCCGTGCATATAACTTGGAGCTCGGAGAGCAGTCAGGACGGGCATGCCCCTGTCCTCGGCGCCCGCAGCCTCCGCGCTTTCCCTTGGCTCCTCCTGGCCCCGGGCCTTGGCTGTCCTGTCTTCGTCACTGTAGTCATGTGCATTTTACCTATTAGCATAGTAACAGAATCATGGTGTTCCCCCCGCCCCCCCCACATCAGTAGTTTTATTTTTTAATTTTTTGCCAACTCAGATTTCACTTTTATCTATATTGTGATATATAATTGAATTATTCATTGATTTGGTATTGAGTATTGGGTAGCTGACATTTCGTGACTGCTATAGGAAGGACTAGATTATTTGGTAGTTACAGGTTTAACTTTTAAAGAAACTTTTAAATGAAGTTTTGATGTTTCAGTTTGACTTTGAAGTTGTTACATCAGGTTCCAATTCTACATCTTCGTCACCTGGTAGAGTCCTTCTCATTTATTCTTCCATCTCTTCTCTCAATTGCAGTACAATTTGCATGTAAAATCATTTTGAAGAATCCAATTCATGATTTTAAATATACATGCAAGTTCAGCAGCTGCCGCCGCTCATTCCAGCACACCTCTGTCACCTGCAGGAAGCCCCAGGCCTGTGTGCCGCCGTTGCCCCTCGGTCCCTCCGAGCTGCTGCTCTCCAGCACTCTCTCTCCTCACCGCTGCCCCCAGCCCTGGGGATTGACCCCTTTATGCTGACCTGCATCCCCTGCCCTTTTGATTTCCATCTGAATTTTTCTTTTTTGTATTTTAGGGAAGGGTCTACAGGGTGTTCAGGGTCTCACTACTAGATTGGACTCGTAGTGATCCGCCTTTTTACAGCCTCCTGAGAGCTGGGATTCCAGGCGTGTGTCATTTTTAAATTTTGATACAGGGTCTCACTAAGTAACCCTGGCTGGGTTTGGCTTTGGCAGTCCTCTTCTTCACCTTCCCAGAGTACACCAGCACACATGGCCAGATTCGGTCTTACCCATTGAATAGTTTGCCTTGAGCATCACCCTGGCATTGTGTTTGTTTAGATAGTGACTATCCTGAGTGTTGCTCAGGCAGGTGTCACTTCAACTAGTTGATTTTTAAAAAAAATTTATTTAGTACAGGGTCCTCAGGGTCTCACTGCACAGATCGAACTCATAGTGATTGTTTTATTTTCACCACCCCCCAAGTGCTGGGATTACAGGCCTGCAGGTCATGCCGGGGATTGCATCCAACCCCATCCCTGCATCTGCCTAGGCAGGCGCTTTAATCCGCTTGGCTATCTGGCGGGTCTTCAACTAGTTGATTTCTTTGCATGAGATATACTACTGAGTCTGTCTTGTATTTTCTACTTTTTGCATACATTTTTATTTAGAACATTGTATTTGCCTTTGATATTTGTTTCTCTTTTTTAAAAATTTATTTGTGTGTGTGTGTGGCCAGCTCAGCCCACCAGGGGGCGGGGCTGGCTGGCTGGCATGTGGTGCTGGGGATTGAACCGCGGTCCCTGTGGTTTGCTAAGCTTGTTCTAAGTAGGTGCTTTAGACCACTGAGCCATCTCATCAGCCCCCTTGTTTCTTTTTTAAAATTTACTTTTAAAAGCAGAATCTATTGGGGGAAAGAAAGCTTCTGTTGGAGAGAGTGACAGAAGGAGGGCCCCCAGGGAATGGTCCCCGGGGAAGCTATCTCTTCCAGGGACTTTTGTAGAGTAAAACCATGCAGTGAGGTGGGTCTAAGGTGGTGGAGAATGGGGGAACTAACTTAGGTAGACATGAGGTGGGACAACGCTGTGGTCTGATGTTTGTTTTTAGTGATATCTAAATCTAAGATCTTTTTTTTTTTTTGGCAGAACTGGCAATTGAACTCAGGGCCTTGCACTTGCCAGGGAAGCACTTATTCCCCTGCACCATCTCCCCAGCCCCTAATCATGTTTATTTTCTTTGTGAAAAAATAATCTATAATTTGTGTTACAGTCTATAAAGACTACCATAGGTACCTTAGGTATAACTTCATACTACTTCAGAGCTCAGTGAACAGGAAGGAACTGTCAAAAAAGCTACAGAAGAAAAAAAATGAAAAAGGGAAGGATGCTACTGTATCAGAGAGTAAAGCCTGTGTTGAGACGGAAAGACAAAAGAGATGTGTCCTTGTTGTCATTCATAATACAGAAATGGTAGGACTTGAAAGAAGAAATGAAACTAAAATATTCAAGTAGTGGTCAGTGATTATCATAACTCTGTGGATGGTGTTGACAGAATTGGCCAATATCTGACAAGCTATCCTCTAAACAAAAAGTGAGGAAAAAAAGTTTTGTTTTTTTTTAAATGGAATTGGTTGTTACAGGGTCGCACTCACTATGCAACACATACTCATAGTGAACCTCCTGTTTTCAGTCTCTCCAGTGTTGAGATTACAGGCTGTGCCACCACCCCTGGACCCTGTGGCTGGCTCGGCCTGCTCTGGAGGGTGTGGCTGGCCTGGAGTGCATGCATGCTTGCGTTGGTGTGTGTGTGGTGTGTGGTGTGTGGTGTGTGGGATGGAGTGGGGAGGGGTGGGGGCAGGCTGGGGGTGGGGCTGTCCCTGTGCTTGCCTAAGCTTGCCTGAGCAGGTGCTTTAATCCATTGAGCTATCTTGCCAGTCCGGAAAAATCATT